AATACAATTAAAATAAATACTCTAAAAATTATAATAGAGGGAGGTGAGTCCATGCCCTGGCCCATGACTTGTGTTTTCTTCAGGCTGATTGTTAGTCCAAAATCTTGGCAGGCCTTACTATAATTTCATACGTTGTTGGAGCTCTTCAGCAGAATGGGCATCAACAACTGAATCATCGGCAAAGAGGAAGTCCTGCATGCATTTCAGCTAGACTTTGGTATTTGCTCTAATCTAGAGAGATTAATCTAGATTCATCTGATCTAGTCTGGAGATAGATAACTTCTGTTGTAGTTCCAAAAGCATGCTTCAGTGTGCCAGCAAAAAAGATCCCAAACACAGTCGGCATAAGGACACGGCCCTGTTTCACTCTGATTTGGATGTCAAAGGGATCTGATGTTGAGCCATCAAAAACTACAGTGCCCTTCATTTCCTCACGACAGGAGTAGTAGGATTCCTACTACTGACAGGACCTGATGATGTTAAGGAGTCAAGGTGAACATCCAATCTTGGGAAGTATTTTCAAAAGGCCATCCCTGCTAACCAAATCAAAGGCCTTTGAGAGATCTATGAAGGCCAGAAAGAGTGGCTGTTGTTCCCTACATTTCTCCTGCTACCGTCTGAGGGAAAATACCATGTCACTGGTGGATTAGCACGAAATCCACACTGATTCTGGATAGACTATCTACAGGCACGTGGAGCCTCTTCAGCACAACACGGGCAAGCAGCTTCCCTACAACACAGAAGATAGATGCTATGATAGTTTTTGCAGTTGCCCGTCGCCCTTGTTCTTGTACAACGTGATAATGTTTGCATCCTTCATGTCCTGTGGTACTCCAGCTTCCCTCCAGTAAAGACAGAAGATTTCATACAGCTCAGTGGTGATTGTCTCTTTACAGTACTTCAACAGGGATGTTATTCTTCCCAGGTGCCTTGCCGGAGGTGAGGGAATCCAAGGCCGCTTTTATTTCTGCTAAAGTTGGTTTGCTGTCCAACTCTTCCAAGACAGGTAGGCACTCAATGTTATTTAATGCCTCTTCGGTTACTACATTCTCTCTAGAATATAGTGCTGCACCCAGCGTTCCATCTGCTGTTGTCAGTCCTGGATGATCATGCCTGTAGCAGTCTTCAAAGGAGCAGATTTCTGTATTGGACCTAAAGCCTCCTTGATACCTATCATACATTCCCTTGATGTTACCTGTGTCCACTGCTATCTGTATCTGAGAACAGAGCTGAAGCAAATAATCGTTAGAACATCTCCTGGCAGCCTGTTGGACTTTGCTACGAGCAACTCAAAGAAGCTTGAAGTTGTACTCACTAGGACAGGCTTTGTATGCTGCTAGAGCTCTTATTTTCATCGATGGCTGGCATCAATTCCTCCGAGTGGGCTTCAACCCAGTCTGCTGTCTTTTTGGTCTTCTTGCCAAATGTAGACAAGGCAGAGTTTAAACAGCATTATCGAAATGTTCCCATAATTCAGGTGCATTTGCACCAGCCCAGCCTGGAAGAGTTTCCTCAAGCACTTGAGCAAATTTCTCCTTTTCTCTGATCACGAGTTTTGCTGATGTTGATACGTTGTCTTCCTTCCTTTTTCATGTGATACAATCTCTTTATTCGCAGTTTGCTACACACCAGAGAGTGATCAGTACCGCAATCAGCACCCTGATAACCACGTGTGATCATAATACTAGGAAGGCTAGAGCGTCTAGTGACGATCAAATCGAGCTGATGGCAGTGCTTCAATCTTGTATGTCTCCAAGACTCTGTGTCGAAGCTTCGTACTAAAGAACGTGTTGCTGACACAAAGACCATAATAACAGCTCAAGCAAGCATTGGCCATTTTCGTTCATCTTCTTGCCATGAATGCATTTTAAAATAAATGCATCTGTTTTAATAGCTAAGGTGTTAGGGCTTCCCCAACCATGTTTTTCACTCACTCCGAAATTAATTGATGCAGTTTCCTTTTTAGTCATAAAACCTACCTGTTGATTTTTATTTGGTTAATTTGTGTTGCACATTTTGTAGCCACGTCACCCTTCTTTGAAAGAAGTGCAGCAGAAATACAGTACTACATTCTAGAACAACTGTTCTGCCTGACCACTATGAAATAATTTTTCATCTGCTGTACTGTTCAGGAAATGAGAGCCAGACAATCAGGCATGACTCATCTTGTAGGTAAAAGAAGAACACTTTTTCAGGTCATGAATATTGCTGTTGCTTCTTGAGTTTTAGTGTACTATTACTTCACTGAGAAAAGTACATGTAGGGATTCTTTTCCTCAAGTGGCAAATGACATAGTCAAGCCTTAGATATATTGCACCATGATCTAATAAGACAGAAAAAAAGCCATTTGTGAACAAAATGTCTTATAATGGTCCAGCAAACAATGAGATGGTTCTTTCTGTCATTGCTATATAAGACTCTTCCTCTTAACAGCTGTTCTCTTTCACTCCCCCTCTGCAGCTACATTTCTCCCCTCTGGCCATCAACATTCTTTGCTGGTACTACTCTCTTGTGCAGGGATAGTACAACTTCAAGAGCACAGGAAGACTTGCATCAGAAACAAACAGGATGATGACCACACACAAAACTAAACCCTTAGCCCCAATTACCTCCAAAGATTCTGAAGTCAGCAACAATGTCTGCTCTAGTACATTTAAATTGAAACAGTGAAACAAGTAGTTTTAGATTGCATTGGTTTTCATTGCACCGATGAAAGAATTCAAAAACTTTATTGACCTATAACCTGATTAGAATATGCCAGATGAGAACCAATATTGTACAGAAAGTTGTACAGAATTTACATAGAAAACTTTACAGAGCTGTACCATATACATTTTCCATCTGAAAATTTTTTCTACATCCACTGTAAGACAGAATTCTTGACAATCTTTTCTTTAACCATCAGAGCACAATTCACAGTATGAATACATTTCCAATAAATTTAAAACCATCCCAGACCATGCCAGATTTGTTACTTGAATATATTCAACATTAAATTCTGTACATAGAGTGAAATCTACATCAAACAACCCCCCCACCCCAAAGGTGACAGCGAGACAAAACCTAGACTTGTTTGCAGTGATTCAAGTTCCAGTCCTGAAGGATCATTGCAATGGCTTATTATATTTAAAAGCCCTATCAATCACAGGTATGTTACAAACGGTTAAGAGAGTTGTGACATTTTCAGCCTCTCCTTTTGATGGAAGTCAGTAAGACTAACTTTTAGGATACAGACCAAAACAATCCCAACTCAAGCCCAGACTAGTGCATTTGGTAAACAAACTTATGGGTCTCTAAGAAATAATACAAGAAGTAAGAGAATGCAGGAAGAACTGTATAGTGTTTAGAACTTTATATTACAGACCTGCATCTTTGTACATTTTTTCACAGAAGAATGATTACCTATATCTCAGACAGCCTGAGTGTGCCCAAAAAAGAAAAATCATCTCCAGAATAAGAATTACACATCCTTGTTGTTTCCCTCACCATGTTCTAATACAAATATATCTCCCAAAAAACAGCTCTCCTGACTTATACTTTTGTAGAGGTTTGAACTTTTCAAATGATTTAGTTCTTTGGGTACATCTTAGGTTCACACCCAGCATAAATACCTTTTGATATATATCACTGACTAGGAAGGTAGAAGATATTATAGTCCAGGCTGGCAATTAGACTGTTAGAACTGACTCTGTGTTCAACACAAGCCAAGAATGGGAGGGGGAAAGAGAGAGAAATTCACTGGAGAACTACAGTGTTGCAAGCCTAAACTAGAGTTTTAATCTGTACTGTGAACCCGTAGATGCACACTGCCATATAAAGAAACTCTTTTTATGGACATCCAGTGCAGGTTTACTTGAGCCTTTGTTTCTTTTGCCATGCGCCTACTGCTTGGGTATTCCCACCTCTTGTTCTGGTGGCTGGAATATTTGAAAAACTACTCCAATCCGTAGAAAAAATCTTCGCAAAACAGCTCGGAGCTCAGGAATTAGATCAAACTGCATTATTTCACACAAGAGAGGATAGTAATATGATGCATGAGCTTTAAACTGTTGGAAAAGAGAGGTACTGTGTAAGATATCAACTTCTTGGCATGAAAAGATGTAGTATAACTATT